AAAAAATTCCTATACGAGTGGTCGCACGGTACTGAGGGACAGAATTTCTGAACTTCAACTCTTTATGCTACTATTAAATTTTTAGATGGCATTCCACACCAACAAATCAGAGTGGCGCAGCGGAAGCGTGGTGGGCCCATAATCCACAGGTCCCAGGATCGAAACCTGGCTCTGATATGAAGAGTAGCTTCCGATTTTCCACTTGTTGGATACGTTTTCTTTTTCTCTATTTTATATTAGTTTTTATTATGCATAATAAAAACGACGTTGATCACCGGGGGATGTAGCTCAAATGGTAGAGCGCTCGCTTTGCATGCGAGAGGCACGGGGTTCGATCCCCCGCATCTCCATTTCCAACTCCTCCTTTTTCTTTTTCCCAGCGCTTTCTGTCTTTAAACGTCAGTTATTCTCCTTTTTCTTTTTCTCAGAGCTTTTTCCTTTTTAAAGGTCAGTTATTTTCTTTTTCCAGCGCTTTTTCTTTTTAAACGTCAGTTATTTCGTTGGATGGAGCCAATTTCAACCAACGGCCAAAATGCCACCGCCAGCACCACCAACTCATTCTCCAGTTATCCCTAGCACCACCCTCGCCGCCCCATTCCTTCCAAAATCACCCGCGCCAGTCTCACCACTTCACCTCTCCCCCACCCCGTCCCCTCATGAAACCATCGCAGTCTCACGCCGACGCGCAGCCTTTTTGCTCTCAATTTTAACTGTCCCTCCTCTACTTCTTTCAGTGCATGAACCACCCACAGCTTCCGCATTCTCCCTCGGCATCTGTAAGCTACCTGCTATTCCTGAATCTCCTCCACTCTTTTGCTTTTTTCATTGTCAATTCTTTTGTCAAAGTGATTATGAATTTCGTGGGTAGGTATTGATTATGAATTTCTCCCTACTACAATTAATGAATGTCTCAGCAGGACCGAAGAATTGGCTGAAAGAACAAAAGAAGAAGTCGTCCAAATTCCTGTTAGCTCCGGTTGATGCTTCTCGGAACATCCTCCGCTCTGCCTATCTTCTAATGAGTACATATTCCTCTCCCTTTTTCGCTGTTTCTGCAATTATTCCTTCTGTTTTATTTACTAATATGCCAGTCTAATTGGATTTTTGTTTGTTTTTGTTGTGGGGTTAGCTAAGGGTGAAACGGAGTATGAGGAGAATGACTTGGAAGAAGTTAAAAAGTTGGTGACATCTGCTACTAGAGATTGTGTGGCTGAACAAAGGAATTCATTTGTGGCTTTCCAAGCTAAGACTGGAGTAGAGGTTAATTTCTCTTATTTACTGATTTACGTATTGATATCTTTTGCAGTAGTTACCTTCTTAATTTTTTGAATTTAAGTATAAATTACTACTTGAAATTGGATAAGCATTATCCTCCTCTTTTAAATAGTACTATAGCATTTGACAAATTGTAGAAGCTTGGTTGGGTAAATGTGGAGTATCCACCTTAGAAAATCGAGGCAAAAATAGAATATGAGAATGGCAATGAATAGGTCTATATTTTGCATATTAAATCAGATGCTAACTGGAGCTGTCTAAACCTCAGGTCTGCACCTTCCGGTTAATTGTGAAAAATGCATCTTCTTTGCTTGATGATAAAGATCCCACAAAGTTAGAAGCTGAATCCAAGCTCACTGATCTGATAAGGTACCAAATTCATAGTATTTTTTGTCAAATTTTGCTGAAAATTTACATGTTACAATCTGTTCACATTTTGACATGGTCATGGATGACTTGTGAAGGTCATTAGTTTATGTTTCTTCAATTTAGGTTGGTCAGCTGAAAATCTCTTTTCATAGCTGGCTAATTGAGCCTCAGACTTGTGCATAGCATTGAATTCACAATTTAGTTGTCCAAAATTTCAGTTCTTTATATCTCCTACCTGTTTGACGACTAGTGGAGACATTTCTGCAATTACAAGGTGATGGGGATTAGGGTCTGTCCAAATGAGATGAATCGTGCATCTTTCAGTTAGTCATATTTAGACTGCTAGAAATGAATGCAACCTAATGAAACCATATCTTCTCAGAATCCCTCCAGCTAAATTTGTCAATGATATTTTCTTTGCTTAACAACTGTAGATCGTTTACTTCTCTCAGTGATATGACCAATGAAATAGATGGTCAAGCTGCTTCAAACAGGTATTGTAATATGAACTTTATGAATTTCCAGCATTTTAAAACTTGTGTCTTGACCAATGCTTTCTGCTTCACCCATTTCTGCAGGCAAAGAGTTGCAAATGCTCTTATGGATGCATTATATTCCCTTGACAACTTTGAGCAGGGAATCAAAGATTGCCTTGAAATTTAATGTTCAGATACTGGATTCTGAAAAGAAAAAAGAGCAAGAAAGATTTTAACGGTGAATCGCTTATTAAATATATTGCAAAGAGGAGGTCCAAGAATGTCATCGTTGAAAGTTGGGGCTGTTTTTTATTAGTTCAATTTCGTGTTTCTTTATTTACATCATGGTTGAAAGTTGGGACTGTTTTTTATTAGTTCAATTTTGTCTTTCTTTATTTATGTTCTCATTTTGTGACAATATGTATATTATTCAAGCCAAAATCTTAGTGCAAACTGAAATGGTTCAAAAACATAGACTGGCTTATGCCCCTTAGCTTATGAGCATCTGACAGGTAATTTAGTAAATGCATTGCTTCATTAACGTATTTACTTTGGAATACCTACTTTTACCTACTAACCTCTTAACAGCTAATGTGTGTAAAAATGTGTTATTATTTGATGTTATCTGACCAAAAAAATTATACTGAATAGAAACTGACTTCAAATGTTACAAATATGGTTTTTCTTTTTTATTTTTTCATCATATACCTGCACACAAGTTGACTGCTTTCATTTTTCTTTGCTGTTGAGAAAGAATTTAAGATGGTCAGGTTGGCAGAGAACGTAATCTGACATGTTATAGAAGTCCAACCAATAATAAAGATGCCATGTGGTTTCCTAAGTGATCTTTGCTATGTTGTCAAGAACTCCGCAGGTAATTTATACATTCAAAGAATGCAATCGGACTGGTTGTGTTGTCATCGTCTCCTTTACCTCAGCCTCCCAAAGGAACAGATAATTGATTGGAAATTACCATAATTTGTAGAACTATATCATTATTTTGTCACTGGAATGCAGTTTGCACTGCTATACTCCTGGGAACAGTAAAAAACGATTGCGCTTGAACCTGTATCTATATACTGAAAGTTAGGCTAGTATAAATCTTAATAGTTGGACTTGGTTCATTGAATAGTTGGACTTGGTTCATTGAATAGTTTGATTGGGTAAGCCAGAGGCTTGGACCAAATATAGCCGACAGCATGGTGTTCCATCATCTGGGTGAGTTTGAAGAGATCTGGGCAAGGCTCGCAATTTGTTGAACAAGTTTAATGGATCATGCAACAGGCCGAAGTGTGCATCTGGATCACCAATTTGAGAGAGCTTAACATCAGAGAAACCAAGAGATGGCAGCAATTGTTCCGGCCAATCACAATAGAAACGGAAGACAGAGCCGCACAACGTGGTTGATTGCTTGTTCATGAAGTCTGCTAGTAGGACTGTTTGCGTGAGATTGCAATTCTCTGCAATGATCTTCAGTACTTCAACGGCGTCAGAGTGTGTTAGATAGTACAGAATACCTTCTAATACCCACACTGTATTCTTCCTGGGTTCAAATCCCACTTTCTGAAGCTTTTGTAGCCAGTCATTTTCACTAATATCAGCTGGCACTCTGTTTAATGATTTTGCTGTCAATAATGGATTCTGATTTTCAGTTGAATCTGCTGCTGCTTGTAGTATAGTGGTTTTTGTTTGCAGGACCTCAGGGAAATCAACCTCAAAAATACTGCTTTCTTTCAAGCAACTCAAGCGATAGGCCCTTGTATCCATACCTGCAGGGTAAGCAGAAAATTTTGACTGGCTTAGAAAGTATCAAGAGAAGCGCCTGATACAGGGACGATGCCATTTAATCTTTCCTCTAACTGCACGTGATTTGCAAAAGTTTAATCTGGGCAGATATTGTACTTGTTGGAGAAAAGAGTTGCTGGAAAATATGTAACATTTTGCAAAATAAACATTGTTTTTTATTTGAGTAACATTGTGAAAGGTTTGGTTCTGTAGGAACTGGACTCTGAATCCCTTGTCTGAAGCATTACGAGTTCTTGATTTAATAGGTACCGCATACTATAAGACTATCTTGCATTTCCCCTTCCCCTGAAAAGCAAATCAAATGAATTAACCATGATTATTAACGTGCTCGCTCGGATCCTCTGTATCTAACCAAACCAATAGATCGTCTATGAAATATGCATTTGCTATCCATCAATTCGCTTAAATGAATTTGATGCTTCAACTCAATTGTTACTAACTAGCTTTGGTTGTAATGCTTCGCATCTTCCATAGGTGCAAGAAGAAACAAGTTGATTTTTTTTTTTTAATTCCCATCTGACACTAAAAGTGAAAGTGCAAATGCAGCAGGTTAGTGAAGGGGTTCACCTGCACCAAGGAGGACAATCTGCGCTGCTCCACCACCAAAGGAATTGAGAGCTGCTTCAATTTTTGAATCAAACCAGAGGGTCCTAACAGCAAGAATAACTCCAGATACTTCTCTGGCATTGTTGAGGCGATCTTTCTTGATCTTTTCATGAGCAGTCCTCAAGCTTGTCTCTCCAGCTAGCAATTCAGCTAGTGGATCATGGACGGCATGCTTCCACAACGCTCTTCCAGCTGCAGTCTGACACGCTGATTGACGGGTGGCATCCCAGTCATTTTGTATCGCTCTGTGGATTTCTTGAATGGCGTCAGTGTACGACAAGTCAGGTAGTTCCATTTGTGGCCAGGACTGGACGTCATTTGATCGGCCGATCTCTTGATCGGCCATTTTTCTTTGCAATGCTGAGCTTTAGGGACTAATAGAGGAGAGCGAATGAAGAGATAGGCCATGAAATATATAGCACATTAGTGCAAGAGGAATGCTTAGGTAGAAGGAATTTGATTCTAAGGGATAAGGAAAGAGAGCCACACACAACCGACGTCTGAGAAAAAGCTCAATCGTATCCAGCGTCTTTGCCTAAAAGAAAAGGAAGGTAACGAAAGAGTCCACGACTACCCACCTTTTCATATGCCCATGTTGTTTCTCCTCCCTTTTTTTTTTTTTTTTTTTTAACTCCAAAGCCCTCCTCTTCCTCTCCCTCTCTGTGTAAACTGTCCTTCTACCAAGTTGCAAAAAGGCAGCAGAAATTGGTTCCCACCAACAATGACTTCTTCTCAAAATTGGGTGGTTCCAGAACTCAAAAAAAGTAATCTGTCCCTCTAGGTTCTCGTTTGTCCTTTAGTCTAGCATGGTTGCAATCAACCATCTTTCCAATATTGTTGTTAGTCGTACGTCGACTTTGGTGCACCGAGATAAATGGTTTTTTGTGGTTAAAATTAAAAAACATTTTGCATTTAGTTGCCCGTAGTTTCCTATATATCTCACTGTATAGTGCCTTTTATCATGTGGTAGCCAGCTCCTAAATCCAAACAGATTTGATATGTAACAGAAGGGAAGGAGATGCGAGAAGGAGAAACGAAACGGCAGTCCCAGAATCCCAGGAGATGCTTCATTGCTGAATTCTGAGGTTTTGGACCATTGGGGTTGCTAGGTGTGCGTTCAAGTTAGTTTACTGATAATCTGATGCGATAACGTGGTGGAAGTTTGGACTCTTCCTGGGACTTGGGATCATCTGGAGCTAGTTGAAAACGATGTACCAACAAATAAAAGGGAATTATACTTCTCTTTCCCTTTCGGTTTTTTCATTTTTGGCCTCAAATTAGAATACTTGTGGTTGAGAAGTTAGCATCCTGGAATCCAGTATGCTCCAAAATTGTTTGGGAATTTTTCCCTTTCTTCTAGTCCTTTCTTTTTTCCTTTTTCTTTTTTTTTTTATGTCAAATTGGGACGGTTGAGTTGAGGCCTGAGGGACGTTTGCTTGCTTTCAATTTGAAAACATATAACACATTCTTTGGGAAACCCAAAAACAAAAGGTGCGGTGCACATCAAGCCAATTCGACACAAGTGCAAAGAAGAGAAATCCGACACGCGTGAATGGTCCAGCGGTAGCGCCTCTCACCGGCAGGGACGGAGCCAGAAATTTATTTTTGGGGGGGCTGAAGTGTATTAAAATTTTTTTTTGTGACGAAATAAATATATTTAATAAGTAAAATTTAGAATCAATAATTATAAAAATAATAAAAACATATAATTATACATACCCAAAAATTTGTTATTGATTAACACTTGAAGTATTGGTAGTTGTTGCACTCGAATAACGAAGAGGAGACAATTGCATTCTGCGAGTCTTCATCCGTTGAAAACGCTGCAATATTTGCTCATTTTCAATTGTTGCAAAAATATCCTTCTCGATGTATACAACCAAACAGTCATTCATCCACTCGTCTCCCATTTTGTTGCGCAAATCAGTCTTGACAATATTCATTGCAGAAAATACTCTTTCAACAGAAGCAGTCGCAACTGGTAGAACTAATGCCAACTGGATCAGACGATAAACCAATGAAAAAACTGTATTTTTACCAGTTTTAACCATTTGTTGAGCAAGACTTCCCAAATCTCCAACTTCTGAAAATTGAGGATCGCGTTGCACATTATAAATATAATTTCGAAGTTGAGACTCAAGATATAAATAATCGTTACTTGAGAAGTCTTCAGGATATAAATCAGCAAGACGGAGTAGTTTCTGCACATTGAATTGAGAGAAATAACTTTTTGGATCAAGACATGCTATGCAACTAAGCAATTCCGTGCTAACTTTCGAGAAACGATTATTCATCTCTTGTATAATTAAATCAACAACCTGACATCACAACAATAATAAAATTAATAACTAAGAAAATCTGCTAACAAGTAACAAATGTAATGAAATAATAATTTCAAAAATAATACCTCACAAAAAATTTCCACGCGATAATGATGAAAATTAGTGATGGTTTGACCTCTGCGACTGCGCCTGACATTGCCACGGATTGCTATACTGTCTTCCATATCAATCACGGGAATCATATTCAACTCACAAAAATTGTTGACTTCATCTAAAATTATATGCCATCCCTCTTCCCTAAAGTCTTGCAATTGAGATTTCATAGTATCAATCAAACTCATGGCTTGGACAATATTTTGATCCCTTTGTTGCAAAACAAGTGACAAGTCATTTGTGATTCCCAATAAATACTTCATCAGGTGCAATGCAAAAACAAACTCATAATCATTCATTCTATCAATCAAACCCCTGGCCATACCTCTATTGTCAGAAGTGGTGGCATCATCTTGTATATTTCCCAATATTCCAATCACCGAAGCCCACATAGAGGATAGACGAAGTAATGTTAGATAGTGTGATCCCCAACGAGTATCCCCTGGTCTTGCTAAACTAGTTTCTTGATTTTTGCCTTTTCCACTAATAATATCTCCACTGTCTAAAAGTGTAACAATCTTATCATGTTCTATTTGTCTTAATTGATCTCTCCTTTTACATGATGCTCCAGTTAAATTGACAATCATAGAGACATAGACAAAGAATTCACTGACAATGATATTTCCCTTAGCAACAGCAACAATAACTAACTGGAGTTGGTGAGCAAAACAGTGAATATACATCGCATAGGGATTTTCTTGTAATATAAGGGCCTTCAAACCATTGAACTCACCTCGCATATTTGAAGCTCCATCATATCCTTGACCTCTCAATTTGGATAATGATAATCCGTGTTGCGCGAATAAAGAATCAATTGCATCTTTCAAACAAAGAGATGTGGTGTCAGACACATGTACAATTGCAAGGAAACGTTCAATCACACGCCCTTCTTTGTTCACATATCTCAAAACAACTCCCATTTGCTCTTTCACTGAACTGTCTCGAGACTCATCAACTATTAGGGAAAAATAATTGTCTCCAATATCATTGATTATAACACTTGTGATCTCTGAGGCACAAGCATGTGCCAGATCTTTTTGAATCATTGGAGAAGTTAGTTGATTATTTGCAGGAGCATTTTGATTTACAACCTCAAAAATCTCAGTATTTCGCTGGCTATACCACTCAAACAATTCAAGAAAATTGCCTCTATTTGAAGAACTAGTTGACTCATCATTTCCACGAAAAGCCAATCCTTGCTTCAAAAGAAAGCGGGTCACATCCAGAGCAGCAGTTAAACGGGTGCGATATGCAATATCTATTTCGCGCCCACAAGATCGTAGCACATTTGACACACTATGCCTTTGATCTTGAAAACTTTCAAACTGTATTCTAGCATCATTATGGCAACTATTCACAGCTCCAATATGTTCATTAAATCTTTCCATTGCCTTTTTCCAATTATTGAATCCCGTTTTTGTAAAGGCATCCTCTGCATATCGACCTCCCTTATTTTGTGTTTTGAAAAGAAAGCACCAAAAGCAAAACGCCGCATCTTTCGATATGCTATACTCTAACCATACAAACTTTTGATACCAACTATCTTGGAAACTTCTATGTTGTTTACCAAATGATGTTTTTGGATACATATGGCCAATCGGTTGGCAAGGTCCCCTAGTCAAATACTCTCTTCGGACATGGTCTCGAAGAGAAATATCAAATTTCTCAACTGATTTTCGTAATCCCGGATCACTAACAATATCATTTAAATTCAATTCCACACAAGATTGATTTTGAACTGGTTCACTAATATTAGGCTCATTTGAAGATTCACCACTACGAACTCGTTTAGGTTTAAAGAATCTCTCCATTTTCTGTCACAATTAAATAATTGTGGTTAAATTCAATAAAATTATGCAATTCAATAATCAATTAATTTAAAATTCATATAAATAATTCTTTAATTTAATAATAAATTCATATTACTTATATTTCTCAATTTATAAAATTCATTATATAAAATTATCAAAAAGTTAAAATAAGGTACAACTAAATACCCATATAATCTCTAATTCAATCTCATAAAATTTTGAATTTATATTTACATTCAAAATTTCTAATTCACATAATTAATTCTTAAAATTTCAAATATAAAACTAACAAAATTTAAAAAACTAAATACAACCTAAAATCTATACAATTTCTAAACTAATTTCTAATTTAAATTTAATATCATTAAATTTTTTAATGTAATCTTTCAAATTCTTAAATTACATTAACATAAACTAAATAAAAATTAATCTTAATCAAATTAATATCAAGATACTCAAAATTCAAAAATAATTTAAACATATAATTAACAAAAATATAAAGATGAATATTGTAATTTAAACCAAAAAACTAACCTAAAAGATTTATGTGAATGGAATGGTGGAGAGTTTGAGTCTTGGAGCCTTGAATTGAAGGCTTGAAGCAGGATGGTAGAATCTCAACTGAAGCTTCTTGGAGTTCTTGGAGCCTGGCGTCTTCTTCTTGGAGTTGGAGTCTTGTTTGCCCTTTGGCACTGGCGGCGTGCTTTTGCATCAGATGAAGCCTTAGGGCTTCATCTGATGTATTTTTTTTTGCCCTAAGGCTTCATCTGATGTATTTTTTTTTGCCCTCATTATACAAAACGACGTCGTTCCACTAAAAGTGAAACGACGTCGTTTTGTATTTAGAGGGCAAAAAAAAAAATTCAAAATGAAATGGGTCATCTTCTTCCTCAGCAGTCAGTACAGCAGCGGCTTTCCAGCTCTTCTTCACTTCCTCTGCAGCATTTATGGAGCCCTGGAGGATGGTAGATCTGGATCACCGTGGGGGGGCTGGGCTGGCCGCCGGAATCCCCTATATATAGGGGGTTTTCCGGCGGCTTGGGGGGGGCTTAAGCCCCCACCAGCCCCCCTTAAATCCGTAGCTGCTCACCGGTGACCCTTGAGGTCCCAAGTTCGAATCTCCGCTCTACTGGATTCCTCCGCGCACTTATCGTGTTCGGGTCGGGTTGAGACGCCGGCTCAGGCCGCAGGCGATTAGTCGGGCCCCGTAAGGATTGACCCGGACACCCCTGTGTCGACAAAAAAAAAAGTAAAGAAGAGAAATCCATATAATTTCCATTCATTAATTGCTGTTACATAAGCCCAAAGAAATTCTCTCTCTAAGAGGCAGCCACCATCCCTTTAGCATTCCTCAATTTCTTAGAAATATCTTGAAAATTTTTATTTTCCTTAATTTCCATTAAAGGCCTTGTTTGGATTGTTATTTTTAGAATTTTTTGTAAGAGAATATGCTGTATGAATTTGGTGTATTTGAGGTAAAAAAATAATAATTGATAAATTTGTTCACCGAAACGTAAATTTTTTTTTTCCTGCAAAAAACCACAATCCAACCAAGGTTAATCTGTAACTCCAACATGCATGTGGATCATGGATGGTATAGGCTGATGGCTTTTTGAAGCAGGCCTTATCCTAAACCTGCTGCCCCAATAGAATAAAAGCGTTTGGCAGTGTTGTGTGTGGGCCTCTGAGGCCATGGCCCATGGCTGCAAGTGAAAAGCATGCGCGTCCCGACACTCCCAATTGGCCCAATAGTGCTCATTAGATTCCGTGGGGCATATTCGCAACCACCACGATTCTCTGCATTTACACGACAAGCAGTCTACTTTTTATATAAGAAAAAAAAATATAAAAATTAAAGTTGAAAGAGTGATAGCACAATTAAACACAATTAAATACTAAACAGCACAATTAAACACGCAGTGGAAAAAATCGAATCCGGACAGTTAGTTGATGACAAATGCCCTCAACTTCTTGGAGACTCAAAAGCCAAATAATACACAAATTTGAGTCACAAAAATTAGCCACCAGGGCTGGAAATCAAACAAACACTAGACTATAGCTTGTTTGGATTACTATTTTTTTTTCTTCAAAAAAGTTTTATATTTTTCGTAAACATATTTTTTAATTATTTTTTCCTCATATACATCAAATTCCTAAGACATCTTTTTTTTTATAAAAATTCAAAAAATAACAATCCAAACAGGCTCTAAGAATAGCAGAATAATAATAATAATAGTGGCAGTAGTTTAGACAATTAAAAATCGTATGGATTAGGATTTTGACCCTTGTAAAACTTCGGGCATTTCGCACAAGTATTTGCAATATCCGACATTAATTCCTATCATTCATAAGACTATAACTTTGATCGATCTGGTTGTTTAAGAGCCTAGAGAGTGATGATTTGGCTGTCATTGTAATTTCTTGGCTTACATCCAATTAAGCGAGATACATTAAACTCACCAAGTGATCTATAATCTTTGTGAAAACTTTACAATAGTAGGTTGATGGTGCATAACTTCGATCGATCTGGTTGTTTAAGAAGCTAGAGAGTGATGATTTGGCTGTCATTGTAATTCCTTAGCTTACATCCAATTAAGCGAGATACATTGAACTCACCAAGTGATCTTATAATAGATACTTTATTTGTGAAAACTTTAGATTAGTAGGTTGATGGTGTATAATTTTTGCATGAGCATGTAAATATAACAAAATAGTGGTCATTCTTACTGCATCTCCCTTCTTTTTTTTTTTTGTTCAACTGTAAATATATGAAACTACCATCTTAATATTTTTGTTTCGATTGTAAGTTATTTGAGATATTTTTACTGTAACACTTTTTGTGATGTGATGTATGTGAGATGAAAAGGTAATTGAGAAGGTAAAAAGGTGTATTGGAAATTGTAATGATGATGTAAGCAAATATATTTGGGGAAATAAAGGCCAATCCAAACAAACCATTATTTCTTAACAAAAATTGAAGACTTTAATATATGATAAGATTAGTAGTCTAATATTATCCCTTGTTTGATTCATTTTTATACATGAAATTAATCATCCGATGGAAATAATCTAATAGATAAATTAATCCGTGGTTTTATATATTAGCAATTTGATGGGATAAGTAAATGTCATGACATTTAATATTTGTTGAATTTCAGTAACATAAAAGAAATTACCAATATGAAATATCAAATGAATAACCCAAGAAATTATAGGTAGGATAATCTCAATAATCTCTATATAATTATATGTGTTTGGATTGCATATTATTTACATCTTATTTATACGAATTAATTTACTTATATTATCAACATATTTTTTCAAACATCTTTTAAACTTATATATATCATGTCAAAAAAATAATACAATATTTTTTAAAAAAATTATTTCAAATAATCTCCTATCCGACATAAACTGAAAGCCATCGTTAGCCATTTTATCCAAGAACCAGATGTGCCCGACAAACATCCGAGGACGAAATCTTAAAACTGCACATTACGGAAGCAGTCAATTCGGATTGTGATCAAACCGAGGCAACTTAAAACACCTCACTGCTGATTAAAAAGCAAAATAAAAGTACTACTACTACTACTACTACACTTGTAAACCAAGCACAACAGCATCGGAAGGAGAAAGAGAGGGAGAAAAAACCAGCTTGCCTATTGGTCTTCTGAGGAGGCTCACCTCGGCCATCCCGCATGCCCGAGGTGAATTCACCTCGTCCCTCATCAGAGCTCGTCCGCGTCTCGGGGTTATCCCCTAAGCTCGGCTAAATCCCTAGTCTACCGGGTAGGTGATCTCGGCACCTCCACCTCAGCTGCACGCTGATGATGTCAGGACACCTGACATCACCCGGGCTCAGTGTGCTTTATCTGAAAAGCACTGTTGCACTTAATGGCTACTGCAAAGGACTCCTCGTCACCCTGTCCGGGCGGCTACAGTGTCAGAGTCAGGCCATCTGACAGGGAGCAGAGCCGTAATGGCAGGACATGGGTCCCACCGGCATAAGACCTCCGTCCTGCCTTCCACTCTCACTCTATAAATACCCCACACACTCCCAACAAGTAAGACACACTGTTCATTCTCATATACTATTATCTTTCTCGTTCTCATACTAACTTAATCGTCGGAGTGATACCAGGGGAGAAGCCCCGCCATCCACTTCGGCCACGAGGATACACCTCACCTCAACCCAGAGAGGTCTGATTTAGGTCGGTCCAACTACCCGCCAAAAATCGCCTCTTCAATTGGCGCCGTCTGTGGGAACGAGATTACTGCTAAAATGAGATCCACGCGCTCCAGAAGCGGAAGAGTTCCCTCAACTGGGGCTGGGCAGACATCCGGAGCCCAGCAAGATCGCATCTCTGAGGAACATGGGTCCCAAAGGACCCAGCCCAACAATGAGGAGGCCATCGCCAAGATGGCCGAGTTTGTCACGGACAACCCCAACATCTTTGAGGAACTAGGAAGGTACCTCAAGAGGCAAGGAAAAGAAAAAGCCGAGTCTTCCAAGAGGAGACCGACGAAGTCCCCTGAAGTGCCCTCAGGCGAGGACTCCGACGAGGGGCGCCTCTCTCGGAGTACCTCCAAGCGCGCCTCCTCCAAGGCGACCTCTAAGATTGCCTCCATCTCCCGGGCATTTTCCCGAGGACTGCTAGGGAAACGCGCCGAGGATCCACCTCGGCTCCCCGGGGGCCTAGCTACTGACTACATGAGGGCTCCGCCCTTCACTGATGACATCAATGGGGAGATGGTGCCCCCAAACTTTAAGCTTCCAAATTTGCACACCTATGACGGCCGAGGTGACCCCGAGGATCACCTCCGTGCCTTCATCTCCGCATTCCACTCTACTGCGTCCCCGACGCCGTGATCTGTCGGGCTTTCCCCATCTTCCTGCACGGGACCGCCCGGAAGTGGTTCTGGAGTTTAGAACCGGGGAGCATTTCCTCCCTGGATGAGCTGATAGACCGGTTCATCCACCGCTTTGTGTCGTCTCGACCAATAACAAAGACTTCAGCTTACCTCTTGAACCTGCAACAGGGTCAGGGCGAGTCACTTCGCTCGTAAGCCCAAAGGTTCAACGAGGAGAATGTACAGATACCTGACCAGAACGAGCAGGTAACTATTGCTGCCTTCACCAACGGGTTAGTAGCAGGGATCTTTAACACCGAAATCCATCGGCAGTACCCCCGTACACTCCGGGAGCTCTGGGAAAGAGTGGACCAGGGAATCCGAAATGAAGATGTAAATCGCATGAAGCGAGAAGCCCAAGCATCTCGTACGGGGCAAGATCCCCGGAGGAGGAAAGACACTGGCCGAGGTGAACCAGGCCCAAGTGGCACTTCAAACCAACCCCGAGACCGCCGAAGTGTCTTCGACCGGATCGTGAAAGGCAGATCGTCCACCTCGGACGCCGAGCTGACGCCCCTCAATTCGAGCCGGACCCACGTCCTGGCTGTGATGAGGCAGAATCAGATCGGCCGCAACCCTCCCGAAATTCCGGGGAGGAGAGTTAAGAGGAACTCGAACCTCTACTGTGCCTACCACCGTGATGTAGGGCACGAGACTGAAGACTGCAATGACCTGAAGCGGGAAATCGAAAACTTGATCCGGCAGGGATACCTGAAACAATTCGTCCGCAAGGATGGAGGCTTCAACCGAAGCGTCTCCCACCGGGAGAACCGGGGCCCCCGCCGCGACGACCGACGGGACACGAACATGCATTGCCGAGGTCCCGAAGACCTTAGGGAGAACAAGCAGCCCCCACGCGATGGCTCACCGGGCTACGGCCCCAACATCGCCGGGGTGATCAACACCATCGCGGGAGGACCAACGGGAGGAGACAGCCAGAACTCCCGGAAGCGGACCTACCGCCAGGCCGAGATGGAGGTGGCCGAGCCGAGCTCTCGGCTGTCCGAGGTCATCACCTACGGTCCCGCTGACCCCGTTCCTGCGGCCTCCAGCAATCACGAGGCTCTTGTGATTGAAGTCCTCACCAACAACTACGTAGTCAAAAAGGTCTACGTAGACCCCGGAAGCTCGGTAGACGTCTTGTACTACCGGACTTTCGAAAGTTTGAAACTGACCAGGGAGCAACTCACTCCTGTCAGGACTCCCCTCGTGGGATTCGGGGGACACGTCGTCCACCCGGAAGGCATGTTGACCTTGGTGGTAACAATCGGGCGTCATCCACGCTGCCGAACTGTGCCTGTCAGTTTTGCGGTGGTCAAAGCAGACTCCCCCTACAATATGCTGATAGGTCGGCCCACGCTCAATGCCTTGAGAGCCGTATACTCCACCTACCACTTGAGATTTAAATTCCCAACATCTGCGGGGGTGGCCGAGGTAAGCAGCGATGTGGGCGCCGCCCGGGAGTGCTACCTCGCCACCATTCAAGCAGCAGTCACCTCCCGGCCCTCACCGAGGTCAGAAGAAAAGAGGCCAGCGGTCCTCTCCATAGACTGCATCGACCCTCAGAAGGCAGAAGAGCCCAACAGGCTGGAGCCCGGGGATGAGGTGGAACTGGTGGTCGTGGATGAAGCGAAACCTGACCAAGTGGTCCAAGTAGGGGCGGGACTCCCCCCACCCCTGAAAGAAGAAATGATCTCCCTGATCAAAAACCACCGAGACGTCTTCGCGTGGTCCGCGGATGAAGTGGTCGGAGTGCCACCCGAGCTCATGACTCACCAACTCAACGTTGACCCGCAGGCCCGACCTGTGCGACAGAAACGAAGGCACTTCGGCCCCGAACGTAGCCAAGCCATATCGGATGAGGTCGACAAACTCTTGCCGGCCAAGATGATCCACGAGGTCCAATATCCCACCTGGCTGTCCAATCCAGTCATGGTAAAAAAGGACACCGGAGGATGGAGAATGTGTGTCGACTTCACCGACCTCAACAAGGCCTGCCCCAAAGATTGCTATCCTCTGCCGAGGATAGACGCCCTCGTCGACGCGGCGATGGGGTATGAAATCCTCTGCTTCCTAGATGCCTTCAAAGGGTATCATCAAATAGGAATGAGTGAGGAGGACCAAGAGAAATCGGCGTTCTATACCGACCGAGGTACTTATTGTTACACTACCATGCCCTTCGGGCTAAAGAACGCCGGGGCGACCTACCATAGGCTGATCAACCGACTCTTCCAGAATCAGATCGGCCGCAATGTGGAGGCCTATGTGGATGACATCCTCGTTAAAAGCCTCGCCACTTCATCCTTTCTAGCAGACGTGAGGGAAGTCTTTGGTGTCCTGCGAGACTCGAGTATGAAGCTGAATCCCAAGAAGTGCGTCTTCGGCGTCACCTCGGAAAAATTCTTGGGGTATCTGGTTTCCCACCGGGGAATCGAGGCCAACCCCGACAAGGTGAAAGCCATTCAGGACATGTCCCCACCTCGGAACATCCGAGAAGTCCAGCGGCTAAATGGACGCCTGGCCGCGCTGAATCGCTTCCTGTCCCAATCAGCTGAGAAAGCTCTGCCCTTCTTTAAGGTGCTCAAGAAGGCTGATCAGTTTGCCTGGACGGAAGAGTGCCAGGCTGCTTTCGACAAACGGAAGCAATACCTCCATCACCTACCCACTCTCGCTTCACCTCGGCCCGAGGAGAAGCTCTACCTCTACCTCTCCGCAGCTGATGAGGCCGTCAGCGCTGTTCTTATCCGGGACGAGGGCATCCAAGTGCCCGTCTACTATGTCAGCCGAGCTCTCCGCGGACCGGAGACCCGATACACTCAGGTGGAAAAACTGGTGTTGGGGCTAGTTCACGCCGCTCGGCGGCTGAAGCCCTATTTCTTGGCTCATCCCATATCCGTCAGGACCGACCAGCCTCTCCGACAGATACTGGTTCGACCCGAGGCCTCCGGGCGCCTCACTAAGTGGGCCGTCGAATTAGGGGAGTACGACCTGTCGTATGAGCCGCGCACCGCCATAAAAGTTCAAGCCTTAGCCGACTTCTTGGCCGAGCTCACCTTCACGGAAGGTCCAGAGTCCACCTCTTCCCTTGCCGGGGTGAACACCCCATCCATGTGGACATTGTATGTGGATGGATCCTCTAATGGGGACGGCAGCGGAGCTGGACTTCTCCTGGAAGGACCTCAGGGAGAAGTGTGCTCTTACGCCCTCCGCTTTGGCTTCCCAGCCACCAATAATGAAGCCGAGTACGAGGCCTTAATCGCTGGACTCCAGCTGGCCCGAAGGCTCGGCGCACAACAAATCCACGTCCGCAGTGACTCCCAACTCGTCGTACGCCAAGTCCTTGGTGAGTATGAGGCCAAGGATGAGACCATGCAACGATACCTCTCCAAAGTACACCAACTTACCGCGTACTTCGAGTCCTTCGAAATCCAAAGAATACCCCGTTCCCAGAATAAGCGAGCCGACGCCTTATCCCGGCTGGCTTCTACGTCATTCTCTGACCTCAACAAAACTGTCTTAGTGGAAGTCCTGAGTGAACCAGGATACGTGGAAGAGGTGGCCTGCCCCGTGCACTCTGAAGAATCATGGATGACCCCGTTCATCCTTTTCTTGGGTCAAGGAGTCCTCCCTGAAAACCGAGCCGATGCGAGAAAAATACAACGCAAGGCGGCTCGGTACGCTCTCCGCGAGGGAGAGCTGTACAAACGTTCCTACCTCGGCCCATGGCTGAGGTGTGTCACTCCCGAGACAGGACGCCACGTCCTCCAAGAGATCCACGAGGGCTTGTGTGGAGCTCACGTCGGCCACAGAATGCTAGCCAAGAAGGCTTTGCTTCTTGGATATTTCTGGCCTTCAGTTCGGCAAGACGCCCAGGACCTCGTTCTCGGCTGCCCTTCCTGCCAGGTCCACGCACCCGAACATCACCAGCCCACAAACTTCATGGTTCCCATCACTTCACCCTGGCCATTCGAGCAATGGGGGACAGACATCATAGGTCCTTTCCCCCGAGCCGTCGGGGGTCATACCTTCCTGGTAACCGCGGTGGATTACTTCACCAAATGGGTTGAATCCGAGCCTCTGAGGACCATCACCGGGCTGGCAATACAAAAATTCTTTTGAAAATGCATCGTCTGCCGCTTCGGCATACCTCAGGTGATCATCTCGGATAATGGGAGGCAATTTGCCGAGAACCCCTTTAAAATTTGGTGCACAAACCTTGGCATCAAACAACATTTCACTTCGGTAGGCCACCCCCAGGCCAACGGCCAAGCAGAAAACTTCAACCGAACTCTCTTGCATGGCCTCAAGACTCGACTACACCAAGCTGGAACATCTTGGGTCGAAGAACTCATTAGTGTCCTTTGGTCTTATCGGACCACGCCGAGGTCGGCCACGCAAGAGACCCCCTTCTCTTTAACATACGGAGCCGAGGCTGTCATCCCTGCCGAGATCCTTACCCCCAGCCCTCGGCTCGCAGCCTATGCAGCCGAGGTGAACGACGAAGAAAGGCAGTTGGATCTCGACCTCGTCGATGAGCGAAGGGACCTCGCCTCAGCCCGGATAGCTTCCTACAAGAGCACAGTGGCACACTACTACAATGCCCGTGTCAGGCACCGTCGATTCCAGCCTGGAGACTTGGTTCTGAGAAAAAACTCAGTCAGCCGAGCTGAACCGCAAGGGAAACTATGCCCGAAGTGGGAAGGCCCTTACCGAGTTGTGGAGTCTGACCTCAAGGGATATTGTAAACTGAGCTACCGAGATGGCTCATTAGTGCCGAGGTCTTGGCACGCCGAGAACCTCAAAATGTATTGTGCTTGAATTTTTAATCAAGATATGACTTCGGATCCTACGTTATTTTTCAACATCGGTTTCACGTTATTAAAAAATAAAGGGGGACAAGCAAGGGATGAAGTCAAAACAGACGAAGTCAAAACAGACGAAGTCAAAGCAAGAAATTAAAGTGCGGAGGTGAAAAGAAATAAACTTTCATTCAACAAAGGAGCGTTACAAAAAATACAAGGCCGAGGTCGGAGTGCTACTAAGCGCTCTCCACCTCGGCCACCCCTTTAAGACCCACGAGCCTAGACCCCTGTCTCGGCTCCATTCCCCTTTTCGGCTCCCTCCTGGGCAGCCTTCTCTCCGGCCTCCTCTCCACCGGGGTGAAACTCTTCTCCATGCTCTTCGCCGATGTTCCCTCCAGGCACTTCACCCGTCCCTTCGCCGAGGCCTACATTGGCTTCTTCTCCTCTTTCCTCCTCGAACGCTTCGTCGAGTTCAGACAGCCATTTGTTGAACTCGTCTTGAACCTCGGCCAGGTTCCTCCCGTCTCGGATGCCTTCGGCCATCCGATCGCACAGCTCCGTGGAGTTCTCGTTATAGTGAGCACTGTTCCTCAAGGACTCCAAAGCCTCGGAGGGCAGATGAGCTGCGGCCTGGTCTATGGCCGAAGTGAAGCCCAGCATGAAGGATGGCCTTGTCAGCTGGCCGAGATCCCCAATGAAGGTCTCGAACCTCCGGAAATCCTCGACGGCCGAGGTCCTCGCGCTATCAAGGGATTGTTCGTGATTCTTCTTCGCCTCCTCGGCCCTCTTCTGCTCTTCCTCAAGAGCGGACCTCAGACTATTGGTTGTGATCTCGGCCTCCTCCCCTTTAGCCTCGGCCTCCTTGAGCTGCCTCTGAAGCTCGGATTTCTCAGACTCAGACACCACCAGCTTCTTCTTCAACTTGGCAATCTGATCTTGCAGTTTGCCGGTGTCCTGCTCCTCGAGCAACTCGCAGTACCGATGTGCCATCTCGGCCACAAAGGCTGTGTTGGAGGCCGTGGTCACCATAACGCTTTGGAGCATCTCGGCCGGGGTCAGCTTCCTTGTGAAGTCCAAGTCTCTTGGCAGAGTAGACTGCATCACCAGGTCTTGGGCGACCCGAGGATTCGAGCATCGGTCGTTGACCTTGAGCGACCAATCCGGACACCACTGCTCGCCGGAGTGAGACTTATCCTTCCCAGAAAACACTGGGGGGCTATGGTACCGGTTCCAGAGCGAAGTCGCCGTCACCGCGTTGACCGGAGCTTTCAGCTGTTTGCCTCGGCCATGTTGAGGTGGAAGTGCCGTGGTCACCCCTAGTGGCACCCCCTCTGGTACCGAAGTGGACCCTGCGGCAGCAGCAGCCGAACTGCTCTGAGCTGCCGTGGTGGGGGTGGTCTCCTTGGCCGACGTCTTGGGAGGCTGCCCTTGTGTTTTCTTCTTGGGCGGGGGCGCCGATGTCTCGCCCGAACTCTTCCTTTTCGACCTCTTCGCCACTTCGGCACCTGAGCTCGACGTGATGATGTCGGACAATTTGGTCACTGCACAAAGAGCAAATATTATCATATGCCTTAGCCGAAGTGAAATCAAAGCTATGAAAGAAAATTACAAGGTATCTTAAGTTTAGTGGAGGTGAAGGGAGTCTTGTCAGGAGGAATCAAAGCTCGGCTAATTCCCCCGTCAACCAGCACGGCTTCGGGGTAGTCCAGACTGTATATCCGAAGTCCCGACCCCATCAGCTTCTGGAAGTCCTCCTCCTTGGCATCCCCAGCAGAGGGATCGGCCTTCGCTTTGATTGGCCTCCACCAAAAGCCCCTGGGGAAGTCCACTTCGGACACAAAGAAGTAGTCACGCTTCCAATTCTTGATTGAGCTGGGAGCGCCGACCACCAACTTCGGAATGGCATTGTTCCGATTGCCAACATAAAACCATCCCTTGTCCGTCCCGTGCGCCTTGAGGGTATAGCATCGGCGGAAGAGGTCGACAGACGGAGTCACCTCCAGATGTCGGCACAGCATCTCGAACCCAATAATGATGCGGATCGCGTTCGGGGTGAGTTGGGTAATCCTCACGCCGAAGTGACGAAGTAAGTCCCTGAAGAACCTCGACGTGGGCATCCTCAGCCCGGCCTCCAACTGTTGGACATAGATGGCCACCATGCCAATGGGGGGCTTCTCGGCTGAGTCATCCACCCCGGGCGTTGTGATCTCGTACCCCGACCGGAAAGGGTAATTGTTTATCACCTTCACGGCCCTATCCCTTCCGATGCGACTTCTAAACTTCGGCATCTTGCCGAAGTCGATGTTGGATGTATCTTCGGGAGCGACATGCTCCAGTGCGTCCTCGTCGTGTGGTATCTCGACACCGAGCTCCTCATCATAGGCCACTTCGGAGCCACCCTCGCTCATCTCGGATGACTCCAACTCGACGTCAACCTCCTCGCGGGCCTCCTCGGTGGATCCTTCCCCAGAGCTCGGCGTCGACCCATCCGAGCTGGACGTCGTCGCTTCTTCTTCAGGATCCGGCCTCACCTCGGTCCGATAGCTCGGAGTCACGGTCTCTCTATGGGTCTTAGCCGTTTTGGCCATGTGTGTAAGACGAAATGAAAAAAATGATACTTACTGTTGTCTACGGAACTGGACGAAGTTGATGACCTCGGCAGTGATCTCGGCTGGGAAGGCTGACCTCGGCAACACCCGCAAAGTTGGCAAGTTTCAGCAAAAGAGGAAAAAGTGTGGGGAGCTGGTGAAAAGGGACCCCCTATTTATAGGGGCCCCAGGAGAATCCGAAGAGGCGACAAGAATGCGAAAGGACGGCCACGTTCGAATTCAAAACGCCGTGCCTCCCTCTCTTCTCATTAATGCCCCGTCCTTTCAGCTGACACCCTCTGCACGAAACGTCCCACTACTTCACGACGCGACGGTTACCAGTGACCACGTCCTATCAGCTGACCTGCCCACGTGTCACGTCCCCGCATTTCTCGGAGCAGTTTCGGGACTCCGACTTTCTACGACTTCGGCACAAGGAAGCCTCAGAACCTCCCTAGCCCGGAGCTCCCGATGCTTGGGGGGCTTATTGAGGAGGCTCACCTCGGCCATCCCGCATGCCCGAGGTGAACTCACCTCGTCCCTCATCAGAGCTCGTCCGCGTCTCGGGGTTATCCCCTAAGCTCGGCTAAATCCCTAGTCTACCGGGTAGGTGATCTCGGCACCTCCACCTCAGCTGCACGCTGATGATGTCAGGACACCTGACATCACCCGGGCTCAGTGTGCTTTATCTGAAAAGCACTGTTGCACTTAATGGCTACTGCAAAGGACTCCTCGTCACCCTGTCCGGGCGGCTACAGTGTCAGAGTCAGGCCATCTGACAGGGAGCAGAGCCGTAATGGCAGGACATGGGTCCCACCGGCATAAGACCTCCGTCCTGCCTTCCATTCTCACTCTATAAATACCCCACACACTCCCAACAAGTAAGACACACTGTTCATTCTCATATACTATTATCTTTCTCGTTCTCATACTAACTTAATCGTCGGAGTGATACCAGGGGAGAAGCCCCGCCATCCACTTCGGCCACGAGGATACACCTCACCTCAACCCAGAGAGGTCTGATTTAGGTCGGTCCAACTACCCGCCAAAAATCGCCTCTTCATCTTCCATTTTCCAAGAAAACATCAAATTTAAGGCAGCAAGCTGGTGAAGTTGTTTTCTATTGCGGGGAGAGAAGAAGACGAGTGGGTTTTCTACTATCCTTAGTAGGAGGATATGGCACAGGACGATGTTAATTGCTGTGAGTCGAAGTTTTTTCTGTTCTTAGCAATAATTGTGGGATTGGTGCTATTTGCTGGGCTCATGGCTGGTCTCACCCTTGGCCTTATGTCACTGGGACTCGTCGACCTCGAAGTTCTTAGTAAATCTGGACGCCCCCAAGATCGTATCCACGCCTGTCTGTGTTTCTTCTATTCCTCTGCATCCTAGTGTCTGTGTGAACTAAATGGTGATGATGTTGTCGCTTTTACGGTTTTACAGCTGGATTAACACGAGATCCTTGATTTCAATTAAGGGCTTTTTTTATCAAAAAAATTAATAAAGATTAGAGCTTGCCCTTTTCTTTAATTGTTGTCGGTACTGTATATGTTTGTCTGTTGTGCGTGCTTACAAATAGTACTGGTGTCTCAGAATTTTGATTTCCTGAAGCATCAGGGTAGTATTATGGTAATGGAATGTGATGAAGTTAAACAGTACTAGCTATAAACTTTTGAAAGAATTCATTGTTGTGCTTACATAAGTTTATGTTGATACTTTTGTTCCAGAGCAAAAAAATATTGAAACCTAGACCGGACTTGTGCTTAAATAAATTTAGGGGCAAATTGATCTATCAAAATAGTATTGGATTTGCTATGCTGTGTTTTGCATGATGATTGATTCACGATAAGGTCAAGGTATATGACGTGTATGTGTGGTTAGTATCCCTATTGAAATCATCTGTTTTGGCAGCTAAAATACTTCCAGTGGTAAAAAATCAACACCTATTGCTTTGTACTCTCTTGATCGGCAACTCTTTAGCTATGGAGGTTTGTAGAAGTTTTATTTGTTTGCTCATTTTGTTCTCAAAGATCCGATACTGACCACTCTTGTTCTTTTTTCCTCCCACAGTCTCTTCCTATTTTGTTGGACAAGCTTGTGCCTCCATGGGCAGCAATTCTAATATCTGTAACACTCATCCTCATGTTTGGAGAGGTTTTTTTCCTTATCAACAGAACTCTAGATCCTTGGTTCTTGACCATTTATGCTTGTGCGGGGATTATGTGATCTTTCTCATGCAAGTGTTATTTGTTGCAGATACTTCCTCAAGCAATCTGCACTCGTTATGGATTGACTGTTGGGGCAACAGTGGCACCCTTTGTCCATCTTCTTCTGTGGATATTCTTCCCTGTTGCTTATCCAATCAGTAAGGTACTCTTATCGTACCTCTAAACAGCTATTTCATTAGAGAAGAAATGTCATCTTTTTGTATGTGGAAACAAATTAAAAACCTAATAAGTTAGTCATTTCATCAAATGGCTATGATATCAGGTAACCGTGTTATTATTGCTCCGATTTAAATTTAATATCTTTTATCAATTTGATTCTAGGTACTGGACCGGATGTTGGGGAAAGGGCATGCTGCCCTTTTACGCAGAGCAGAGCTTAAAACATTTGTGGATTTTCATGAAAAAGAGGTATCCAATCAAAATTTCAAGTTTGCCAAGTTCATTGGATCCATATGTTTACATTGACAGATGCATGTTATTGCGTCTATATGTGTCTGTTTGTCAAATGTATCATGTGACACAGTAGTCTCTGAATACTTTCTGATTTGAAGAGTTTTATGTTTTTTTTTAAAAGAAAAACTTGGTTATTCTTCGGATTGATTCTCACCTACAATACCAATGTTCATATTCTCCCAAAAGGCTGGAAAAGGTGGTGATTTGACACATGATGAGACAACAATAATTGCTGGGGCGCTTGAATTGACTCAGAAGACCGCAAGAGATGCCATGACCCCCATATCAAAGGCATTTTCTCTTGATCTGGATGGAACACTCAATTTGTGCGTTTATTTCTTGCTTGTAAATTTGATTATTCTGTTTTTGAAGTGATGTTTGTTGTCTAATCTCTTCCTTTCCATGTGCAGGGAGACACTTAATGCTATAATGACTATGGGCCATAGTAGAGTTCCTGTTTATTACAAAGATCCGACTAATATTATTGGTCTTATATTGGTAATTATCTTTCTTAATGTCGGTGGTCTTATATTGGTAATTATTTTTCTTAATGTGGGTGGTCTCGTTAATGGATTGTTGATAATGCACATTTTCATGGGTGGCTTAGGCCTGTTACTGATGATTATCTTTTTTGCACTTGGTTGTATACCTAATATTTAGTATGCCAAGATTTATGAGCGAATTTCTGTATAATATATTCTTTAATTTCTACTATGTGCAGGTAAAAAATCTTTTAGCTGTTGACCCAGAAGATTCAGTTCCTTTGAGGAAAATGACAATCAGAAAAATTCCTCGGTAAGGATGACCTCAATCTCTCTTTGGCAGGCCCAATAAATCCCTGGTACTCCTGAATAGATTTTATGTGGCTGGTTAGAATGAGACATTTTTTAGGTCATGCAGTTACACTGTTATAGTTAGGTCTCGACTCTGTAATCGTAGCTGCACATTTTCTGCAACAACACAAGATTGCAAAAGAAGCAGTTCTTGGTGTTAAACACCTTTAAGTAATTGAAGGCTTTCCTAGTTTCTATGCTAGTAAGGAGTTGGTGATATACATTTATTAGAGATCACCTTTGACAATTCTGATAGTGAAAGTCTTGGATACTGACCTTTGTAAATGTCAGTTAGGTCAAATCTGATTAATCTCCAGGAATAGCTCTAATCTTGATATATGGGTTTGATTCAGGTTCTAATTTGATTGCAATGACTTCTACTTCACTTGTTGTGGAGGTCAGATAGACTCTACCTGACAATTGACCAAGGGAAGAACTTAATTCCTAGTGTTTCTATCTCTCTTTATGCACTTGATCTTTTGACAAGCATTGCATGACTTGTTCTCTTAACACAAGTATGATAAATTCTTAATTGCTTATTTCTCCTATAGCATCACCTCTCTTGCTGTCTATATCATATTCCCTTGTTGTTGTATGATATTTTGTTGGGGATGCCTTCTTTTTCATGCCAGTTAACATTTTAATTACTTGCATGCCTTTGTCATACTAATTTTTTCTTGGTTCTTTCTTGAGCATTAGTTGTATAAGATTCTTTGTGTAACTAAAAATTTATTGGTGCTTCCTCAGGGTTGCAGAAAACATGCCTCTATACGATATATTGAATGAGTTTCAGCAGGGCCACAGCCACATTGCCGTTGTGTATGAAGATCTCAACAAGACAAAAGAGACGCCAAAGAAAACTAAAGGTTGAAACTTTGAGGCAGCTTCTTGCAACTTGTGGCAACATGTGATTTCCCCCCCTTATGTTAAACTCTCACTTAAGTCCAAACTGTCAATGCTCTTTTTGCTTATGTTTTTTAAGCTTCCTTACTAGTGAAACCAAGTCAATCCTAACTTTTCACTTTTGTAGATTTTTGTTTTCCTTAGCCTCGTCTATTTTGATCAATTTTATGCTTTAGTGCTGTCTTTACGAATATGCTGTTTCCTGAGCGAACTATTTTTGAGAATATGACAGCTTGCTTGGCAAGTAATGGAATTTGATGTGTGAACCCAATTGCAGATCCTGACACTGCTGCAGTTAAATCTGACTCAGTTGATGCTTCCTTGAGCAAGGGAGGTGCAGATCAAGCGAAGAAGAAAAGTCCTCCTCCTACTCCTGCTTTTAAGAAGAGACACAGGGGTTGTTCATTTTGCATTTTGGATTTGGAAAATACTCCAATCCCTGAGTTCCCACCCAATCATGCGGTGCTAGGTGTAATTACCATGGAAGATGTCATCGAGGAGCTTCTTCAGGTACTTGAGATATCATATTTTTCTTTCTAGTCATTTTTTAACTTGAACTAGTGGCCATAGGTCTTTGTTGCTTACAAGGGCATGAAGAATTGATGGCTCTTTTTTGTCTTCACTCTTCAGAACAATTCTTTTTAAAGTACATTTGGGCCTTTCAGTGGTTATGCACCCTTTATGGGTATTTAAAAGCTTAATGAATTGACCGCTTGTTAGCTGCTTCTAATACCTTGCGTACAAATCTTCATCACTGCATATACCTTTTTTGCAGGAGGAGATATTGGATGAAACTGACGAGTATGTAAACATTCACAACAGGTAAGCACATATTTCCATTTGTTGGTTTATCACAGGCTTCATAGGTAAATCCTTGGGTAAATTGAATAAGATCATGCCAACTCCCACAAGATTTAGTCTTGGTTGTCTATGCCAAAAAGCCTTGCAGCCTCTGTCAAAACACTGGACCCTGCACCTGCGAGAGGGTTAGGAGGATAATTTCTTCACAATGCCAGCGAAGAGGGGCCATTCATCCAGGAATTAAAATGCTTTAGTGTTAAACACAAGTAAAGCTCTTAGAAGGAAGTTGAGAACATAAACAAAACATATTAACTAAATGCTTTCTGTTGCAGGATTAAGATTAATATGAATGCGTCGCAGGAAAAGCTTCCCGAATTAAATGCTATAGAGTCTTCTCGTTCACATACTGCCTCAGAGGTTCCTGGTCCTCACAGCGATCAGCCGGTCTATGCCAGAACTTCACGATAACAGGCCCTCCAGTTACCACACTGTACCACTGTTAAAGTGTTCAAGAGAGCTTCGTTTAGCCGTCCTCATTGTTCACTGTACAATCGTTAGGCTTTGCGTCTGATACTCCAAGGGATCAATTGTATCATATTGTTGTAACTTACAAACAAATGTTATACTTCTACTTCTGAAAAAAGCAATATATTTCATCATAGAAGTTTGATCAAATTTGGACATAAGAAGAGTGCGAGCTGTGTATTCCACCGCCCAGTTTACTTTTTCCCATATGTTGTGGAAAATTACATATCTAGATAATGAATTAAGTCCTTTAGGTTGTGATAAGGATTTTCTTCTGTTATTGGTGAGTTAAAGATTTGTGGTTCGTCTTGGACTGTTTGTGTGTAGATACTGATATAGTACAACTAGATATGGCCATGGTTTCAGAATCGTCGGTTTTAGTTTAAAACTGACAAATTCGATTTTTTAGAAAGGTGAAACCAATCTGTCTTGTAGGAATGGTTACAGTTACTGTTCTTGAATTTTCGATTTCGATTTAAAAACTGACGATTTTGATTTCTGTTTCAGTTGTCGTTATAAAATTGATTTTAAGAAAATATGACAATGAATGTAAATAAAAAAAAGAACTTTATTGTTTTATTATGTGCAAAGAAAAAGAAAAATTGATGTATATTTTATGAAAAAAATATTAGATTGGTCTTGAATTTATATTAGTCATGGAATATAGACTTACTAATAGAATGGGATAATGGATGGTTGGTTTAGGATTGGAATTACTGGTATTAGATGTTGACTATTGATATTGAATTCTAAATTGATCAAATATTTTCTTAGTCTCACTTTGAGAGTCTTTTTTCTTTTTTGCACACAATTTGAGAAAAATTAGTTGGCTTTATTGGAAAAGTAAATCTATTATATTATTTTTCTAAAACACCCTCACGTTAATATTAATAATATGACCAATCACGATACTTTTACATTAATTATAACGATAATTTTGATAGAAAGTTGTATTATTCAAGGCAGGAATTAAAACAATTATTGAATAAGGTGGGTTATATTTAGTGATAACAAAGTATATTAAATAACAGCATTTTAGAGAAGTTAAAAATTAATTATATTTTTTAATTGAAAAGTAAACTATAATTTAAAATAGATGAAAAATGAAAATAGGACTATCAAAATGAAACGAAGAGAGTAAATTTAGGTAGCAAATATTTTTCTATACGATTTGAAAATTGCCAGTTTTGGTTCAAAATTTTTTGATAAACTTGAATTAAATTTTTAGTTAGGATTATTATAGTTTCGATTCCAATTTTCAAAATTTGATTTGATTTCGGTTCAACAAATTATCGGTACTGGTTCAAATCTTAACCTTGGCCACCCTAAGTACAACTTCATCCGATCATCCGGTCACATATTATGGAACAACTCTCCCAAATCAATCTTAGTATGAGTTTAATTTTCCAGACAATCGAAAGAGAAAAACCATGACTGGAAGGCTAATTAAAATTGTTTTGATTAAATATTTAAGTGCAGGCCAATGGCCATTGACCATCTTTCCTCCTGCTGTCCAGAAACTCGCAAAGACAGCCCCCGATAACATTGGCAATTGCCAACACGATGTAATCTCGAAATTTATATGTTCTAGTATAAGAACATGGATGGATTTACTGCTAAATTTCTTCCTTCTTTATTAACCATCTCCATAGATAATAGAAATAAGTAATACTCCACTACTATTATTAGTGCTACTCCTAGATCCTAATTACGATACAACCCCGGGCATCTTGGGGGTTAATCTTAAGTTGCTTGCTTTGCATCACCAGATCGTTAGAATCTTAAATTAGATTCCCACTGCTAAAACTTGACCTGGGTTTCCTCTCGTTTCTTTGAATCCACTTCTTGATCTTCCTTTCCTTCTACACTTCTTTTTACAGTTAAAACTTCACTGTCTTCCACCTCTTAACCGTCCAGAAGTGCGCATTTCCATCGTTCTTGGGCTCCCAGATACTTTTCCCTAGTTTATTTTACATTGGTTTAGATGATTGCTGGGGTTGCAGGTACTGATGTTAAAGACACAAAACATTTATGGCAATAGCAAAGTTTGGTCGGCTGGCAAAACGGTCTTATAAATCATATGGGTTCTGTGTGAAGTTAACTGCAGTAGTAATCTTGGGTCTTTGTTTTGTATTTGTTTGGTCTGTTTTTTCACCCTCCAAATTTTCTGTGACTTCCCAAAGAGAGACTTTTGATGATTTTGCTGAACCCGTATCTGCAAATGGAAGAGTTACTGATTCTGGGGTTCATTTCAACAAGAACGAACTCAAGAATGGTAAAGAAAGTAGCTCAGAAAAGAAAGGTCAAATCTTGGAAGAAAAAGACAAGAAAAGGGTTAAAGGTTCTCCACCGTTGAAATCTGGGAATATGCATAAAGATCAGAAAAATGTACCAAAAGGGAAGAAACAAGGGGATAAAAGTCCGAGGCATACCAAACAGGCTGGTGAGCAGAAAATTCCAGAAAAGGAGAGATCTGAGAGCGATGATTTGCAGGAAGAAAAGCAAGATGAGGATGTGAATGGCAGTGAAGAAGACACAGAAAATGGTGAGGCAAATTTAAATGAGGAGGGGGAAGGGGTCCAAGGGGATACTGATTTAGCTAATGCTTTGGATTTGGACGAGGAAGGAGTGGAGAAAGTCGAAGATGATAGCGGAGATTCAACAAATTCGAAGAAGAATAAGAAAAAAAAATTGGGGCCATTATTCGATCCCAAAGCACATTATTCTTGGAAATTATGTAGTACAAGAAGCAAGCATAACTACATTCCTTGTATTGACATTGAAAGTAGCAGTGGAAAACTGCAGAGCTATAGGCATCATGAGAGAAGCTGCCCCAAAACATCTGTTTTGTGTCTTGTCCCCCTTCCCCTTGACGGTTATGGGACTCCAGTAAAATGGCCTGAGAGTAAAGTAAAGGTACGCAACCTCAGATTCTGATTGGCGGAAATTGTTTTGAGTTCTCTATTCTTCTGACTTGTAGTAAAACTGGCAGATATTGTACAAGAATGTAGCACATCCAAAACTGTCTGCATTTGTCAAGTCACAGAATTGGGTAGTTGAAGCTGGAGAATATCTGGCTTTCCCGCAGAATCAGTCAGCACTGAAGGGTGGAATTCAACATTATTTGGAATCCATTGAAGAGGTGAGTTTTTGGGCTTGGCTGTTACAACTGCTGGTATGTTTACGGTTTTCAGAAAGGTCTATTGATTTCTAATGCATCAGCGGTTTTTGCCCAAGTCTTGAAACAAGCTATTAAACTGGCCTTCTCATGCTGAGGGAAACTCTTCTTATTCTTATATGAATATGTCATACAGCTACATATCTGATGATCAATCTGAGATGATTGTGACAAGGGTAAATAATGATTTATTAAAATTTAAATGTACCAATAATTTTGGAAAATGTGTTATCCAAATAATAATATCATTCAGCAAGTGCTCATTCTGAATTGTGTTTGGTGTACATGTCTTCTTGTGTTGTGTGTCATTTTGCAATACCTAAGTCTTTAACATAGTACCGAGTACATTTTGAAAGCCAAGATTCCAACTCAATTGTTATGCAACATCTTTTTAGTATGCTATGTTAGTTTTCATCACCTCTAATTAAGTACTTTCTTTTAGCACAACATTAACTAAGTGCTTGATATGAAATTGAATTTGGCGGGACTGTGTAGATGGTGCCAGACATTGAATGGGGAAATAATATTCGTGTAGTGCTGGATGTTGGATGCACAGATTCAAGCTTTGTGGCTTCTCTACTTGAGAAGAATGTGTTGGCACTTACTCTAGGTTTGAAAGATGACTTAGTGGACCTAGCACAGCTTGCCCTTGAGCGTGGTTTTCCAGCAGTAGTTAGCCCATTGGCAACACGGCGTCTTCCCTTTCCTAGTGGTGTTTTTGATGCACTTCATTGCAGCGAATGCAGCATATCATGGCATTCTAATGGTCTGTGTCCTCTTATCTTTGTTCTGTTCCTAGTTTCACCTGAGTTTCATTAGAAATTATAGTTGATATGTCAGAGGGTTTTATTTTCAGGGGGCAGGCTTCTTCTGGAGATGAATAGGATTTTGAGGCCTGGAGGATACTTCATCTTGTCAAGCAAACATGACAGCATTGAAATTGAAGAAGGTTCTCCCTTTTGGCTTTGAGAAAAAATTCTTTTTCTTTAAAGCAGCAGTTTGTTTCATCAGCTATATTTAAGCAGCTGTTCCTCTCAAAAATTTTTGTTCTCTTCTTCTTTAGCTGTTCTTGCTTGTGTCATCAGAGCGTTCGGATTGTTATACTTTTGTCTTCTTCATCTCCAGTTGCAATCTGCAAATTCTCGGAATAGCTCAAGTAGAACCTTAAAAATCCTCGTTCAAAAGTATTTATTCAACCAGTTTGTTCGGACAATGCATATAGTCATCGTTTTATGAACACCCAACTCTGGTCTCTGTCTTAGAATACGTAAGTAGTTCCTTTGAGTGGTGAAGTCCATGTAAAACTCCTGAGATTTAGTTAGAATATTATGATATGAAGTAAAACCTTTGTACAGAATAATGTATGGCTGTAAAAGGCAAAATGGTAGACTCCTTAAGAAGTTTAGCCAGTTCCTGACTGAATTTTGCGGAGTTTTGAAGAGGTAAAACTAGTTCCTCAGTGTGATCCCTTGCCTTTATGTTATATTCTTGCTCCATTCAATAACCAAAATTGTTTTTCTTCATGAAATAACATCTTATTGATGTCATTTATCCCTTTCTCTAGCCATGTCCAAACTTACAGCCTCTATTTGTTGGAATATCCTGGCTGATAAAAGTGATGAAGTCAGTGACATTGATGTTAAGATATATCAAAAGCCAGAATCAAATGACATCTATGAATTGAGAAGGAAAAAGGTTCCACCTCTATGCAAGGAAAATGAGAATCCAGATGCTGCCTGGTAAGTTGGTTTTCACTCTTTATAGGATCCATATCTCATTTTCAAGTTCTAAGCGGGGATGGTCTTTTGTCTTGTAAAGAACTCACTTTTCTGTGTATCATTTACATCTGGCGTGTAGCACTGTCACCATCCTTAGATTTGGTTATTTTTTCTTTCTTTGAGGTGTGGTTACTTGCTTCCCTCATGTTATCAGGTTGCCAGAAGATGCAAAGACGGTAATGCTGGTGAAACACATGCACTCTTCAGCATAACAGCCTCTCTATGTTTTGATGTCCCTGTCACTTTTCTTTTTATTCTTATGTTGCAAGTAGTTGAAACAAGAATTGTGAAGGAACCTTATTATATGGTTTTAAATTTTTGTATATTAGTCACTGCCGTAAAGATC